AGAAGATTTGCCAGATAGAATGCCAGATAGAATGTCAGAAGATATGCCAGAAGATATGCCAGATAGAGTGCCAGAAGATATGCCAGAACATATGCCAGAAGATATGCCAGATAGAATGCCAGAAGATATGCCAGATTCAATGCCAGAAGATATGCCAGATAAACTGCCAGAAGATATGTCAGACAGAATGCCAGAAGATTTTCCAGTAACAAAACGTATAGATGTCATGGTGTGGATAACTCGAAGTAAAGTAATTGGTTTTTTCATCTCAAATTGTCAGAATCAAACAACTTTTGGCAATTAGTCATATTAGTCTTGAATATTCTTGACACAAATTCACTTGGAACAGTGTTGAGGAAATCACGACGTCGTAGAATTGACCAGCACGCACGAAGCTAAAACTATATGAGTTTGTCAGATCGGCCTTTTCATGATCAGTTTCAGAGTGCGGAAGCCATTGGTTCTGTCCGCTCCCCCATTTTGGACACACCACTTTCATCCAAATTCAGCTTGAGCTGTTGAACAAAGCAGCTGGAATCCTCGGAAGCCTCGTGGGACCCGGCAAGTTTTGGCCGGCAGAACAGCAGTGGAGGGCTGAATTCTGCGGCAAATCCGAATCGATCTTTCAATACATTTCAATACTATGGTATGACCCGCAGATGACCTGCAGATGAGTTGCAGATGGCCTGCAGAGGTGTCCGCGGAGGAGACAAAATGACCAAAATGGGGTGGAGAGACCAGGCTGAACAGTTGGTATTTTGTTGGAACACACGCAGTCACGCACAGAGAGAGAGAGAGATAGATATATATATATACCATCTGGTTATTTAACATAGCCATGGAAAATCACCATTTTTAATAGGTAAACCCAGGTAAACCATCTATAAATGGGTTATTTTCATCTATTTTCCATGGCTATGTTAAATAACCAGAGGGTAATCAGTGAAGCTGCTGATGCTGATGGTGATACATCAACTCAGCACAACCGACTATATAACTAGCCCTTAGAACCATGATGGGGCCCCTTCCACTGACTACTGTACAGGGTTGTATTTGCAACCCAACATCAAAAGCCAAGTCCCAGTTGAACCAGTTGTCACCGGCTATGGGTACCTAAGTGTTCTAAGGTACCTACAACATGTTATGATCCATCTATCTGATAGAGGCCTAACCCAGCGTTCCAGGCGGCTCCCCTTTGCTGAGCCGGGATGAGCCGGGCAAGCTGTTGGTCCGGTGCGGTAGGTCAGAAATCTATCGTCAAAAAATAGTCATAGAATAAAAGATGTAGGGGAAATGTCTTAAGATCCTCCAAAATCCAATGATTTTACCCATTTAAAAAGCACACTTTCTTTTTTTTTGGGGGGGATACCCTCCATTTTCAGACAGACCAAGTTTTTTAACTGACCCAGGGAGTGTTTCAACTTTAATTTTTTTTTTTTGGTTGGATTCGCGCACCCGGGTGGTACAGTATCTATTTCACCCCCAAAAATTGCGAGCGAACCCAACAAAAAAAAACACACATTTTTTGGGCCGGGAACCCACTGGCTAATTGCAGAATTTCCATTCCCAGTTGCAGGGCGTTTTTCTCAGAATTTATTTCCAGTTGCCGTCATAACTGCCTGCCCCGGACCAAAAAAAGGAGCGGCCAAGGAGAGGGCCTGGGACCTCGCAGATTGACATCGGTGACATCGGTGACCTGCCTGACTTGAAATAGTTGATGTTTAACTACATGATGTTTCTTAAGTTTCAAGCAGCTTTCATTTTCACCAGATTTTATCAGATTTGGATGATACCACGTGACATTTTGTTGAGCTATGGATCCTATGGACATGGATCTTCAGGTGCCGATTCTCCAAGTGCTGCACCCCATTCCGATCATTTTTGGCTCGAGAGTGCCCCAGCTGTGGTGCAGCTTCCTTGTGGCACCATGGATTGGGACTACCTCTCCGGGTTCGTCCTCTTCTGCTTGTTGCCAGATAGCACAGTGGCACAGCCGGTTGGGCAGGTTTCATCGGAAGTGTTGCAATGATGTTCAGAAACTTAGTTCCTCAATGTTCGACCCAATGTTCATCTTCTAGATAGGTTGACTGAGCTTCATCTATGCAGCTTACAATATGGTACAATATTGATCCCGTCTGTAGAGTTTCTCCAGGTCAGCACTTGAATCACTCGATGTTTTCGGATTTGAAGCCGTGCTTGGATTGCTCTGCGCATCTGAGGTTTTTATCTGTGATCTTTGCCATTTTGGGGCAAGTGGGCCGCCAGAATGGGGCCATCAAGCAGCGTCGGCTGAAAAAATGGCTTCAAGCATCGGAATGGTCTGGTCAGGGAAATCCCATGAACTCTGGGAAGGGTGTGAAAATATGGTATACTTCCCAAAGGATCCCAAAGGACCATTTCAAATAGGGAGAGTGATGATTCAGCTGATCTGGGAGTACCCGAGATACCAACATTTTCAGAGAAACCCATGAACATATGCGACCATGGTCATGTAAGTCGGTTCGTAAGTAGCAAGCCATTCACCAGCAGGCCGCAAACGTAGCCGCAGTATCAATGAGTTGTAGTATCAATCATTGCCATCCCATTTGCCACACAATTGCCTGACAATTTCCGACTTCAGGGCTGGTGACTCATGGTAGATCCGCATGAAAAATTGCCCCCATTCCCTGTATTTTTAGACACACCTACACAACATTTTGATGGTTCTCTTATTGTAGATGGTTTGAAAAAGATCTTTGAATCCCACATCTCTCATTTTCCCATCATGTTTATTCATTTTTCATATTTTTCCATATTTTTCCATATTTTTCCGTATTTTTCCCTATTGTTCACGGTCATTGTTGGTGAAGAGTTCCATGGATTTCATGGGGCTCACCGAGGCAATAGGCTGCTGCGTAGCGCTCTCCAGCACCGCACTGTGGTGGCGCGGGCGGCCAGCGCCACGAAGGCGAACGCAGTCAGGGAGCTGCAGGAGCCCGTTGCGGGTGAGTGGAGACAAAAAGCCTGGTTGATGATGCCCCTCTCAGTCCCTACAGGATGGGGCCCCCAAGATAGCTAAGTTGGTTTATAAGTGGCTTAACAATGGTTTATGGTAGATATAACTATAGTTAATGGGGATTATCATGGTTTATTAGCCAACTTATAATTGGGGGGCCCCATCCTGTAGGCATCAGTACAGTAGTAGTCCGCTGACCGTCACATTTGGAGCGCTATTTAATGTGTCTAACATGGTCTAACATGCGATATAATCCAGAAATGGATTTTAACGTGTATTATAGGCTCTAACCATCAACCATTTTTGAAATAATTTTGATGTAATCCAGAAATGATGGTGGCTTGATGATTGGTTGGGTTGTACCCTTTTTGTAGATTTGGGATCGCCATACTGTCATTTTTTGGGCTGGGAAGCACGGAAAAACCAGCCTATGGAACTCAATCAACTGGAATCCAACCAACCCTAATTGGGAATCTAATAGGATAGGTGATGGAGAGAGAGAGAGAGCAATAGGATAACACTATTTCACATATTTTTAAAAGGGTGATTTCACATGATTTCGCCAGAAAATTGGAGTTAACGTATTTGACATTAGCCAAAGATAGTGGGCCTATGGCAGTCGCTGGGAGGGCAGTTTGATGGGATAGACTGGGGGGTACCTTCCACCAAACATGGCAATGGGAATGCCCCAATTTACATCCGTGAATGTCCATGTATGATGTAGCTAAGCCATTCCAGGTGAACATTTGGATAAAAAATTGCCAGAGGGGTGAAAAAATGGGGTCATAGATAGAAATGTCAGGGAAAACATGATTGTGGGGAACATCTATCGGAGCGCTTTATTTTTTCCCATGAAATATGGATGTTTCCTGCAAATTGTTTTCCAATGGAGTTATCCCAGCTGCAAGTATATAGGTGAACTGACCATTTTTTTCGCAGGGTAGGCTCTAGTAGGCCACATTTGGGCCCATTCCATTTAGGGTTCATTTATCATCATTTATCATTTATCGATAATTTATCGGGGTTTATTGCTGGGTTACCACCTCAAAAACTAACATATCACTTCCCAATCTCACAAAGCCTAAGCATGACAAGCAGCTTACCCTTCGGGAGAGCTGTAGACCACAAGTGTGAGGATTTAAGATGATTTGAGAAGATTCAAAGATTATTTATATATACATTGATTTACTCGATGATTTCGGATTGACATTCAAGATGATTAAACTTTGATTAAACTGATTAAACAAGATGATTTTCAGTGGCCAACTTTTGTTTCCAGGATGAGGTGGCGCAGAAGTTTGCCATGGCCGCGTCGGGGCATCCCCCGAGCATCAGTACCGCACAGCTGGTGCAGATGCTCGTGCCGAATCCTGGGATTTACCTTGGAATGTACCATGAAACATAGGCTGTACACACACACACGTATATATATATATATATATCATATAATCATATATCATATATATATATATCATATAATCATATATCGTATATATATACATATATATATACATATATATATACATATGCACATATATGTTTATATCATGAAACAATATGAACCATGTGAACTCCAGAAACTATGATACACATGATTACCTTGCGATCATTGCGATCTCCACACTCAGGATCATTATTATCTTCCAAACTAATTTCTTTAGGGCAAACTGTTGTGGTAGTTTCAGCCCCGCTTAGGATGCTCTTCGAACTGGGGGTAGCCGATGTGCGGCGTCAGGAAGTTGGATGCTCGGTGGCCATTTTGGCCATTTGGGATGGTCTAGAGAACCCATTTATGGCGATTGTTTGGAGCTCAGACATTATACTCCACCCTTCTTCACAATTTCAGAGGCACGTTGGATACGATCGGTTTCCCAGGTTTCTCTATGTTTCTCTTTTTAATGCAAAACCGAAGGAGGGTCTGAAACTAGCAGGTGCATAACGTCTAAAATCACCAGATCTCCGCCCCAGAAAAATTTTAGAGGTCTCCTCTCCAAACTGTTGGTGGGAAAGGCTGAAACACTGTCCGAAGGGAAACTGTGTGTGCCGGTTCAAAAATAGAGTACCCCGAAAAACCATGAAAAACCCACTGGTTGATCGTCATTTTCGCGGTAAAATTGCCAATTTGGGGATATTTGAGTGAGGATATACACGGTATATCCACGGTATATCCCGTTTGTGAGTTTTCAAAGGGCAACGCAAGAGATGAAACAAACGCCTCCCCAAATCCATGATAGGACAATCTACGGCTGTAGTTATGTCATGTCACACCCGTGTCCATGTATATAAAGGATTATAAAGGTCCTGTTTATTATGATATCTATCACTCCAGAAAAAACGAGACTTGAAACCGTCTTCAGCTTAGCACCGAGGAGATGTCCTGGACGTTCTCATGCAGCACGGTTTCTACTGTAAGACGCATCCTCAAAAGCGGGACGTGCCCGCTGTGTGGGAACCGGAAGGGCTGAAGGATCTCCTGACATTGCTGATAGATTCTGATAGGTACTGATTCTGAGGATGCTGATGATTACCCATGCTGATGCTGGCTGGTGTTGCCAATTGATTATCCAAACAAATTCGCCGTGGATTGGCAATTTTCAGTCAGAATCTCCAAAAATGAAGACATATCACCAAGAATCACTATGAAACTTAACGTGAATCACCAGAAATCAGCCCAGAAACCACCACAAAATCCCATTAACCCACCATTAAAATCGCAGAACAGAGCATAAAATCATATAAAATCATATAAAATCCAAATGACAAATATGACATATGTCCATTTACACTCTGGTTATTTAACATAGCCATGGAAAATCACCATTTTTAATAGGTAAACCCAGGTAAACCATCTATAAATGGGCCATTTTCCATGGCTATGTTAAATAACCAGATGGTATATCGATTTATACATCATATATCATACATCGATATCACCACCGGTCACCGGTCGCCAGGACTCCTATGGTCCCATGGCGCCCCCCACAGTGGGACTTCTGGAGGTGCAGCGCTGGGCGACGCTGTTCTTCATGCGGCGAATGCGGCCTGTATCTCCAGGTGCCTGGAGATATCTGGAGATATCTTGGAATCATGGGGATATCAGATATATGTATGTATGTATATATATATATGTATATATATATATATAGATAGAGAGAGAGTGAGTATATGGACATATAATCAGGGAAACAGGGTAAACGGAATACTCAACAGATCATGGGATAGTCTTTTCAAATTTTTATCTACTGTATTTTTTTGCCATGGGGTAAGACGGTAAGATCCCCGTTTGGGGCTCCTGGATGAAAACGGTGAGCTGGAGCCTCATTTTTTAACCCCATTTTAGCCACATTTAGGCCCAATAATGTTGGGCCTCAGCTTTTCATTTTCAGAAATAGGGGTGGGGTCGGCTTTTCATCGTTTCACTTGTTTTTTGCTCATACCTTGGCCCTCCAGGTTTTTAAACTAGGTGTTTGGGATGAAAACCTGGTGCTGCACCCTAAGTTGAACGACTACAAAAAGATGTGAAAAACCATAGTGAAACCCGTTCGGAACGTGATCTACAAATGGTGGGTTCCCACATCTATGTAAGTTTACCGGAGAGTAATGAGTTGATGGATGGATGACTGGATGTTCATGGTTGAGGGTTGGGAGGGATGTGGACTCACAGATGTGAAAACTCAATTAAGATGTACACACACACATATCATATATGTATATATGATATGAGGTACGTATTATATACGTATGTATATATATATATATAATGTAGCAACCCCAAACAATGGAGACGAACAATCCTACTACCATCTCCCAAATAAGATAGACCCTGAGAATCACTACCTTCTAGAGGAATGTAGTCTTCCAACCCCCAACTTGGCAGGGTCTATGTTAGTTTGGTAGGTGGTCAGCTGTTGATACACACTACTTTTCTCCACAAAAAGATTATGTTGTTGTAAAAAGTGATGAATGTTACTAGTGATAAGGGCCAAATAGTATGAATATAATTAAGTTTAAGAATATCACAGGGTCAATTTGTTTATCCCAGTGATAAGTTTAGATAATATTATCCAATAGTGAAAAATCATATTTTGAGGAAATTGCTTTCGATGTCCACTTTGCAGGTCCCAGGGCCAAAGGCATTGCAAGCCGCTCGGCCGTGCCCTGCGCCGCCGCCTGGTGTCAGTGTCCCAAAGGTGCTGCGGGCACCGACCGCTGTGCATTGTACAGATGGCAGACTAAGATGGTTGATGGTTGATATGATGATAATATATGATGGTTGATGTGATATTTGATGGTTGTTATGATGATGATGACTCTAGATAATTTCGAGTATTTAAAGTGTTGAGTCGAATTCATTGTTCACAAACCCACAAGGCTGATGATAAATTATATTTATTGTTTCTTTTGTGTGTCCTAGTGTTGGCGAAGTTTCCGATGAACAGATGCCCAAATCAACTGATAGCGTGGCTACAGATACCCCAAGCAGAGCCTGAGGGCCTGCGACCTCCCGGCGAAAGGAAAAAAGTGGCTGAGCAGATGCTATCGCAGGAATGATCCTGAAAAAATGAGATGTTCAAAATGCATGTTCAAGAACGTCCAAGAATCAGGAGGACTTGGTGGATCTTGCTGGGTGCTCATGGATTTCCACGTTCTGTTGAATTTGAACAAGGGCCTGATATTCTCTCGTATTCTGTCACTATCCTTTCATTAGCCAAGTGACCTTCAACTGATGAATCAACCTGGGATCCCCCTTGGTTTTCCCTGGTTCTCCCACAAAAGTTGTCGATTCTTTGGCCCAAAGATCTGATCCTCGGGGCCTCTTAAAGAGGCCGCCATAGAACCCGTGGCGCTGTGACCGTGACGCCATGGCAGACGCCTTGGCGAGTCTTGGCCAAGGCTCTTCCAATGCCAGTGTGGCGAAGATCGCGATTGAGCAGCGGACGCCTGGTTTGCTTCGGAACTTCGGTGTTTGCTGCATCATCCAATTCATCCAATCCCCGAAAAAGTATACATCAAGATAATTATTAATATATATATATTGATATTACATTCAGATAGATATGGTATGATATACTTATTATTATTTGATGTTGCTTGTATTTAATGGGTTGTCCTAGTTTCAACTAGTTTCCAAAAACTTTATATTGTTGGTTATTCTTATTGTACCTAAATATATGCACATCTATGATGATATCAGAATTATATTTCCAGCAGCTATTGAAATACCACCCGTTAAATCATGTTACTGTAAATCCACCTTTTGGATGGTCAATCGCAACTTTCCCGAAGTCATTCCAATTGAAAATCGTTGTGCTTTCCCTAGGGTAAATCCACTTGTTCGTGGTAGAACACTTCTTTTCCCCGAGTTCATTTCGCATAATTACATGTAAAAATCACAAAAATCTCCACTTTCCGGAGTAAAATCATGTGAAGTTGTCGTTTTGGATGGTAATTCTATGTAATTCTGCACTGCTCCCAGCAAAATTCCCATCTTTTCCACCTCACCAGGAAGAAGAAGGCTGAAGTCGTGGAGCCGGCCGTGATCAGCGAAGAGCTCCTGATCGAGGGCGTCGAGGTGCCAAATGGGGGATTTGCCTAGAGGAAATAGGAGATTTACCACAATTTTACCAGGGAAAATTGGGGATTTACCACAATTTTGCCCGCGAAACATGGATGAAAATGGTGACCATTTGCGATTGAGGCACCATGGAGATTTTTAGCCTCAGGTGGGAAAATTGTGTGTGTTTTTTTCAAGAAACACGGGATTTAACTGGGGAAATGATGATAGAATGCTGATACAATGAGGATATAGGTGCATATACAACCAGGAATATACTGTGTATGTATATATTATATTTATATTGTCATATATATATATATTATCATATTATATATGTATATTGTATATAATTACTGTAAGTATATCCAGCAAACATGGTTTAGCCATAAAATGGGGGAACATGATGAAGAATCGTTGCAAAATGGGTGGCTCCCATGATTTTCAGCTCAAACTGCCAGTGTTCACCAGACGGTTCTGGTTGGCCTTGTCTCAAAACGGGCGACCCCAAAGGCCCGGACTGTTGATCATCATATTATATACAGAATTATATATTATATCATATTATATATATATTATATTTATATATTCCCCATGAGATGGATCAAAGATGAGGGTTGATGATCCATCGATCCATGATTTTTGAGGCACCATGATATTGTATCCCAAATTGCCTCATTAATATAATGATCCATTAAATATTATACTATATTGTTATAAATTATTATAATGTAACCAACACTATTATACCAATGATCCATCATATGGCTATGGATCAATACCTATAAACATACCATTTTTAGTGGGATGAACATCCATAAATCCCAGCTATTTTGAGGTTCACCAGGGGTACCAGGGTTTTGACCCATCCCCATATCACAAATGGTTGTTTCATCCCACCATAGCCACGGGTATCCCACGGGTATCCCACCAACATAGCGCCAGGAGCCAATCCGCCCGGACGGAGATTCGTGGGAGCCCATCGACTTCCCTCAGGTCACCTCCTTGAGGTTATCCTTCAAGAACATTATCGAGGCGTTGGCCAGGGGGTCATGAAAGGTTGGTTAAAACATGTTAAAACCATGGGTAAAACACCATCCTTTTGGTGGAAAAACCAATGAAGAACTCATATTTATATGTGTTTTCTTTTTGTCTCTGTTTGTTTGGATTGGATTGAATTAGATTATTCAATATTTTCAAGAGGAATCAGCTCTCAGAACTTGCAAACTGGAGTTGGTGTTGCCTCATGTTGCCTAGACAATGGATTTGAGATGTCACCATCTGGGGGTTTCAAATAAATTGGAGTACCCCCATTTCTGGATGGTTTATGATGGAAACTCCCATAAAATGGATGATTTAGGTAGGGGTACCCCCATTTCAGGAAAAACTCCATCGAGCCTCGGTAGGGCTCACCTGAGCCCAACATTTATGACCCACCTCGCGACGCTCGCGACGTCGACAGATCTCCAACTTGAACAACTTTGATTCGCTGCTCACCCTTCGGCTTGACAATAATATCATTGACAAGACCCTTGGCACCCAGAGCCAAGAAACCATACAAACACATTATAAAGATATATAAGCCCTGAACGGCAAGAGTGTGACAGCATGGTTGATGCATGTTCAGCACTTAGAAACTCCAACTCGACTTTGGTTTTCCGTTCGCCTCGTTGGCCGAGGATCGCAAACCTCGGGCATCTGAAGCAGTTGACATGGCTCGACCTCTCCTTCAACAACATTCGACTCTCAACTCATCCAGTAGGGCTGAGTCGTTCTGCGAAGGTGTCATGAGTTTACCAGCCGCATGATGGAATACTATCACAGATGGTGCATGGGTTGACAATTTCACGTCCCAAAGGCCCAAACCCTCAGCACGCCAGCAACAGCCTTTCTACTTGCATCATGGGTTCCCACTCTTTGGTATGGCCCAACAACATCCAACAACCCCCAAAGAAAGCAGATGCAACTGGACCGGCAGGGACTCAAAAATCTCAAAAGTCGATGGTCAAATGATGTAAAATGACTGTTGAGCCCCAGCCACGTGCCACCCATTTCGAGGAGAAATCGAAGGCCTGGGAGAGTTACATGAACTTCTGGAGCCTTGGAAGGTTAGTCAGAGGCCACAACGATGCGGGCAGACCAATTTTGTTGGTCATTATTTCACGCTATCTGAAATAGAGGTATAACATGTGTAATTATATATACTGTATATATTATAAGTATTATCATTTTTAGTACTTATGTATGATATGTATGTGTACAATTTGACACGTGTAGGCCAGTAAACAGCTGCCAATGCCACACGCGAAATCCCCAAGCCCCAAGGACCTGTCGCTGTACCACAATCAGATCGAAGAGATCCGAGGTGGGCTGATTGACTGTCTGGGCTTGTCTGAAAATTGGGATACCCAAAAATCCAATGTGGCATATTATCACTCACACAATATATATATAAATAATATAATTTGATATAATGTATATATATATATGAATTGTAGTTATAATGGGATGTGCTGTAATAGGGATGCTAAATTGACAAGGATATATGCATATATATATATGTATATATGACATAATATTTAATAGTCAGAAAATGAGGATATCATCATTATCATATCCCTATTGAAATGGACATGTTTGGATATCCTCCATGTGTAGAGGCAGCCAATGTGAACATGGGGATTGAACTGGAAGGGGTAGGTGACGGGCAACTCTGGGTAACGTGCGCAGATTGGCAGGCCTTCTTTGCGGGTTGGAACCCCAGTAGGTAAGGATATGACAGGCAGACTAGCATGAGTTTGTCCACGCCCTGCCCTATTTTTCTGGGATTCACCATCTTTGGGGAGCATGATTGCTTGTCAAAATACAGCTTCCCCGCAGCGTTGCGCCAGATCGTTTGGACGGCTGTTCCAAGCTCAACATCTTGTCGCTGGGGCACAACAACATCTCGGATTTGAAACTCAGCCTGCCGTATGAAACCTTGCATCCGTGTTTTATTGTTTTTAGATTTGGGAACTCCCATCTGAAATTCTACTACACTCAGACTTGTAGATTTTGTTTTGAAGTACAAGTTGGGGCAGTCCAAGTGGCCCGAAACTTTGGAAGTCACCCCCGACCGCCATAGTTTGCTGGTAAATCAGATCCAAGGAGACAGATCGATTACTTGCGCCAGTTCCAGAACTTGCGTTGTCTTTGCATGGACGCTTGGTACCAAAATTACGTGAAGCCATCGTGTCATTCATGGATAGATGATGGATCACAGTCTTGAACATTTGCTTTATCAGGCTATTCAACATAGCTATCGAAGATCACCATTCTTAGATATTTAGGCAGATCATCTATTATGAGCGGCCCATTTTCCACAGCTATGTTGAGTTACCAGACGGCTAGCGACCTAGTGACCGAGTGTCTCAAAGTTAAAAACTGACAAGCATGAGGGCACAGGCTATGTCAGGTCACACATAGCTGATCTCATCACATTCTTATCACATTTCCTTCTTATATAATCTTATATATATATATTAATTAATTAGATAGATAGATAGATAGATAGATAGATTAATAGCTTAGATAGATAGATAGATAGATAGATTGATTGATTGGTTGATTGATAGATTAATAGATAGATTAATAGCTTAGATAGATAGATGGATGGATGGATGGATAGATAGGTAGGTATGTAGGTAGGTAGATAGATAGATGGATAGATAGATAGATAGATAGATAGATGGATAGGTAGATAGATAGATAGATGGATAGATGGATAGATGGATAGATGGATAGATGGATAGATGGATAGATGGATAGATGGATAGATGGATAGATGGATAGATAGAAAGACAGACAGACAGACAGATAGATAGATAGATAATATGCAGGTCAGCTTGTCTTAACGTGCCTTGAAAATAGAAGCCCAGAACCTGCAGTCATTGCTCCTTCAGTCAGGATGCCAACAAGATTTGCAGCGTGGAGTCCTACAATCAGCACGTGTCCCTTGCCACACCTTTACCCCTCAGCTTGGGCCTACCAGATTCGAAGCATCAATCTATGGGAATCCTTGACAAATTGGAGACGTGATCAGAGGCAAACCATGGAAAAATGATGAAAAATCAACATTTAGGGGGGAACAACCAACGTCCAACGGGAATCTTGGGAGGGTAGACTTGTAGTAACTCGTCAGGTGTTTCGACTTTATGCAACCGTGTTGGCTTCTGTAGGTTTGAACTAATTTTCTCCTTGGCAGATTTTGAAACCACCCAGCAAACCCAGGTTGGCATACTTGCCACACCTGAAGTACCTGGACTATATGCTGATCGACCGCAAGGCGGTGGCTCAAGCACAAGAAGGCTACGATTTGGAAGGCATCACTGAGGCCAGGGTACCTGGGGAGGCTGGGGGTGGAGGATAGTGGAACAACGTTGGGGAATCCAAGCATCCAACATGTTTGATAGGTTAAACTCAAGGCAGGCTTCGCTAGAGTGCAAGGCCAAGATGACCAACTCGTGCAGCGTGTCCAAAAATCCAATCCACTATGGTTCGGGATCTTTTCGAGGCCATTCATTGAGATGAATCTTGGATTGAAATGATTGAAATGATTGAAATGATTGAAATGATTGAACTGATTGAAATGATTGAAATGATTGAAATGATTGAAATGACTTTTAGTTCTTGGATTGGAATTCGTAATGGCTCAGAACCATGGCTCAGAATGGTTTGAAATTGAGTGGCTTCAGATCGAAACTGGACCCCCACCTCTTGGAGGTGAGAGAGAAGGAGCAAGCAGAACAGGCCAAGCAGAAGGCCTTGGCAGATGCTTGGTTAACTGACCGGAGGCGCCGGAGGGTATGTCTTCTCTTCGCATCTCTTCGCGGAAGATGGACGAAGCATATGAACCATGGAAGCCAACTAAGCGTGAGTCTTCTGAGATCTTCTGAGTGTATGGGGCTTAAAACTGATGATTTTTGGGCGGGCTGGATGGATAGTTCATAGATGTTCATAGCAAACATGAGCAGACAAAACCATTTGCAGTTTGCTGGGGCAAACATTGTGACCCACACAACCGTGTATCCCAATGGGTCACCGCCAAGACATGGTGGCGCAAACTTACGAGACACTCATTGATCCAAGGAAAAGCAGGCTGTCATCGAGAAGCTGAAGAGACTTGGCAATCAAGCTGCTGACTGGGGGTGACTGGGGCTGGCTTCGATATGTTTTTTTCAATCCAACAAAGATATCAAAAACACATGATATAAACGTCATCAGTATCTTCCATTTTTTAAATGAATGGAATCGATGGACATATCACTAAAACAATACTGAACACATGAGAAATACTGAACAAATTTATTAAGATCCATCTTTGACATCCCTGAAACCCCGTTAAAGGGCCGGTAAACCACAAGCATCCGCCCGAATGTTTGATTTTGCCTGGGTTTCCCCGAGTTCAGCTGTGTTCCGATTTGTTTTGAGTGGCCTAAGCCACCCCCCATATACGATACGATACTATACTATGCAACACAATAATATACAATACTATACAAGACTATGCATACATACTATACATTACTATAGGTACACAATATATACAGATACATACAGATACAGATTATTACACATTCAAGGCAGACCTGGTCTGAAGGCGATGGAGAGAGGTCAAGAAATATTGAAAGTTTGCAATCGCCAGGACATCATTCCTGGACTGCACTGAAAACCTCTTCGAGGAGATGTTCTCCAAGGACCGCTGAAACTGGAACGGGCATGATGCGAAATGAGAAAATGAGGCATACCTGGATAACTCCACATGTATTCCATTGATTCCAACGGGGTATATAAACCGCGTAATAATATATAGTGACCCCTAATTTTCATGGTTCCCACCCATTTCTGGTGATATTAGGGATGGGTTCTTCATGTTTATTCACGTTTAATCCCAAGAGTTATACCCTACAAGCATTCCACAATCATCCCATGATAATCCCAGCGATTATCATAACTATCATCCCACAATCATCCCACAATCATCCCACAATCATCCCACAATCATCCCACAATCATCCCACAATCATCCCACAATCATCCCACAATCATCCCACAATCATCCCAATCATCATCCCAATCATCATCCCAATCATCATCCCAATCATCATCCCAATCATCATAATCGCTGGGATGATAGTAATTATCCATAATTGCCATAATTCTTAATGATTGATATGGATGATAGTAATCATGGATAATTCTGGATGCTTATGGAAGAATGATTGGATAAGCATCCCTTGATCAAGGTCTCCCAAGATCCCGCAGGAGGTGGAACCTGATAACGTCCTGGCGCTGTCCTGTTACCCAGGCCTAAAGGAGGCCCCGGAGCTGGAGAACGTGGATGAATTCTTGGGGGAAAACCGGCAAAGATCAGAAACCATGCTATATCATGCTGTTTACTGAACTCTGGGACTCTGGGGGGGTTCCTGTAAAATGTTTATTACTTTTCCTATCACCCAGTAATGGTATTCCATGGTCCTCCATGTTTCTGCCACGAATCCTGAGCCAATGGTGAGGAATTTGGGTCCGCATGAATCGGAGTCAAATTTGTTTATTGGTTTATATCAAAACACATTTCGAACATCTTATGGATCTTATGGGAATACATTAAATCATAAATGATAATAAACGCTTTTATCAGCATCATGGCATCATCTCGTATCTCAGATCAAGTTCCTTGCATGCTCCCATCATCAGATACTTTTAAACATCTTTAAACATCTTTAAACTACTTACTGCTGCGCTAAACGTAGGGAATGGATGGGTTGCTGGGGGTTGCTGGGGGTTGCTGGGGGTTGCTGGGGGTTGCTGGGATGATTATTGATAGTTAGCCAGTGGATCATTCCCTCATTCCCTTCCCTGCGTAAAACGCACCAGTAAGACTATCTATAGTTGGTTGCATCTATCGGTGCCAGGATTATCGCGACAAGCTCTCCGAAGAGATCAAGGGCTTACGCTCCCGGATGGAGGTTTGGGCCCAGCCGGGCCGTTATTAGGGATGTAGTGATCCTATCAGACATCATATCAACAGTGCCGTTATGGTCTCAAATATTAAGGTAAACATATGTAAACATTATTAGAGCATATTAGACCATGATTCTGATTCTGGGTGTTGAATATTGGGATGGGATTACTATTACTGTGATTATCTTTGATTACTTGTATCATTGCAGGTATCTCAGGGAGTTGGGGTCTCCAAAAAACTTAGGCTGCAACAACGAGGGCTGAGGTCCCTTCCATGGACTAACCAGTGGTTTTGTCATACCCTTTGGTAATCAAACATGGCAATGGAAAATCGCACATCTTACAGTCCATTTTCCCATTAAAGCCTCCATTTACAACGGATTTTCAATTGCCATATGTGATTGGCAGAGGGTATATCTTTCATCACACATGGCACCCTTCGTCCGGGTCGTCTCGCTAGCCGCTAGCCCCACCAAAGGATCATTTCTGTTGGTTACCCTCTGGTAAACTAACATAACTATGGACAATCACCATTTTTAATGGGAAAATCCACTATAAATGGCAATTTTCAATAGCTATGTTAAATTACCAGAGGGTAGATGAAGATGTTTTTTCCAAATTTCGATCATGTGAAGCACCAGCCCAACCTGCAGGAGAAGAACGAGGTTCGACTGCGCAAAGTCACTGCCTTTGAGAAGGCTCGGCAATCAACCCCCATCTGTCACCAGCTTGGGCTGGTCAATCGCTGCGAATTCAATTGCTGTGATTGTCAGAGGGTAGCCCATCCTCAGTTAAATCGGCCCCCATCAAATTGTCAACCTCCATTCAAGCCTGATGTTTGTTGGGCAAGAACAACACCACTATTGACTAATCCACCCTTGGCCCTTGCCATGGGGCCCCCATCCAGGCGGTCTATGCAGCGGAAACGGAGAGTGAGGAGGAGGCCTTCCAATCCATCAGAGACTTCAAGAGCTTGAAAAAGAAAGTCCTGTCGCTGGCCTCAACTTCTGCTGGTCTTTTTTCGTGGGGTTTGGGGTGGGCCTTGTGGCCTTGTGGAAGAACTGTCAACTGATGCTTTGGATTGGAATCCAGTGATCCCCTTCTTAAACGCGTCCAAGTTGTCACCTGGCTCCAAGCCAATCAGCGATTGAATTTTAGTGGAAGAAATAATGAGAAGCATCAACCACCAAGAAAACCTTAAGTCGGACCACAAGAAATGAACAGATCAACCACAACTCCAGGATCTTCTGGGCCCTGAGTTTGGCGCAGCTTAGGTCGCAGATCGACCGCGAGGATAGCGACCGGCTGCGATCAGAAGTGGACGAATTGGTGAAGCAACTGGTGGATCAACTCACAGGGCTGGAGAACCACCTGCTACTCAGCTGGCTTGTTTGGTGGTTTCTGGATCATTTGGATCCTCAATATCCATTGAAATTCATATGTTTTGACTCACATTGGATGGTTTGGATGGTTTGGATGGTGTGGCTGTTGCGGGAAATTTTTATTTGGGAAGAAAAAACATTGGAGAAAGCCCCGGGTTGAAGGGAAGCAACTTGAGCTGAAGATATTGTTGCATCCCTGCTTCTTTTTGCCTTCGCTTGGGGATGATGGTCAGCCAAGACCAGCCCAAAAGACTACCATTTTTAGATATTTAAACAATATTACAAAAAGTCAAGCATGCCTTATGAAGATTTGAGCAACGGGCAAGAGAGCTTCCTGGCACAGACTTCTGAGTGACATACTACATCTCTTCAAACAGCTGTGGCAAGACATGCTGCCATTCGCAGGCCATGTAAGTAGTAAAATTGGACGTGAAACGTGTATACCAACCATCATCATTCAACATCATTCCATATTTCCGTCCCAATTATCATCTGGTTGGTGGTTTGGAACATTTTTTATTTTTCCATATATTGGGAATAATCATCCCAACGGACTGATCTTTTTCAGAGGGGTTCAAACCACCAACCAGTCATAGTATGTCATAGTATTCTGACCGCCAATCTTTGCGAAATGAGGATGGCAAATGAGATCCAGGTGCAGGAAAGCAGCCTGGATGCATGGGAACCATTGGGAACCCATGGCAGCCATGCGGCAACGTTCATCCTTAAAGGAGATCATATGGAGATCCCAAGGCAGATCCAATGGTTGGATTTTCTTATTTCAGTCATAGATGAATTAGTGTAACATATGACATCATATCGACATGTTGTATCCGTTTTTTTTTTTTCCGTTTTTCTCTTTATATGGACTACCATATCACCAGCAGATACCAGGAGTAGATGTGTATCAAATGAATTCAAATAATATAATATATCTATCATATATCTATCATATATCTATCATTATCTATCATATATCTATCATATAGAATCATATATGGATACTTATCTATCATGATTCTATCCAAGGCACAACAGGCAGCGTTCAACCGTGCCAGTCGCATTGCTATCCAAGGTATTGAGGAAGCGCTGTCGGATTTTGAAGCCAAGATCAGCGACCTGGTGAAGGGCATGCTGGAGCGGCGACTGCATCCGATTAACGTCTTGGTGATGATAATTACAGGGATAACAATGATGATAACCATGATGATAGTGATGATGGTGATGGTGATGGATGGTGATGGATGGTGACGATGATAATACAGCCACAGTAGTCACAATAGTAACAATAGCAACATAAGTAATAAAAGTAATGACTATCCAGATCTTCAAATCCTTCGCGACCATCTTCCAATTCCTATAGCTTCACTATGTGCACACCAGATCTTTGCAAGAGTCGGCCAGGACAATAGCCGCGAGTTCTTCCAGCGCCTCGAAGACTTGGAAAAGAGCTTCATCACTGGTCTTACGGAAGGCGGGAAGATGCGGGAAGCGTGGAGGGCTGTTTGGCACCAGCTATCACCAGCTAAACCCCACATATTTTTTTTTATGATAATTGATATATATATATATAATCATTGATGATTGATGATCATTGATATTCATTGATGATTCAAATCCACCCAAATCAAAAAAACAATCCAAATCCATCTACCCTCTGGTTATTTAACATAGCCATGGAAAATGGCCCATTTATAGATGGTTTACCTATTATAAATGGTGATTTTCAATGGCTATGTTAAATAACCAGATGGTAAATCCATCCAATTCCCTTGTTTTGGTGAAGTCCCTATATTTTTGTGGCCCTGGTGTCCGGGAAATTCCTGACCTCTCCGCTGGGTCAGGCGCCAACAGCGAGATTGAGAGCTTTACACAGGCGTGCGAGTTTGGAAGCCTTGGAAGCCCACAACCCCCGTGTCAAGTGGAGGGTCATTTGCCAACAGGTTGCGAACTGGAAAATCACCATTTTTAATAGGTAAATCAACATTTCTATGGCCCATTTTCCAAAGCAAACTGTTATATCTGTTATATTACCAGAAGGTAATCATGATTCATGATAATGATGTCATAATGGGGTCAGAATGAAACTGCTAGGCGTTTCGATGGGACGGGATGTTTCTTGATGCTTCTTGGATGATTGGGCCAAGTCCTTTTAGCGCTTTCAGAGGAACTGGATGCAGCTTGCTGGCCAAAGCTATCAGATGAAAACTGTGTGTTTGACCCAGCACTGGCACCAGAAAGATACGGAAGGATATGGCCCACTCAAAACATGATTTTACATGATTTTACATAGCATCTACCCATATCTACCCTACCAGCTCCCTATTTTTTATACATTTTTTTGCAGACATCCCGTTGGCCAGGCCTCGGAATCGGCGATGGCAGACACGGATCCGCAGAAGGCCCCCTGGACCATGGAGAGTAGTGCCAACAATTTGCCAAGTCTGTTGATCACAAGATCCATTTGGTATGAAATGGTATGAAACAATGGAATATACAATGGATTCAGAAGTGACTATAGATGATTTCACTGGAAAGATCGCGATGATACTTGAACTATCATGAACTGCATGGTGGGTTTTCCGTCCGTCGGCTGAAAACCGGCGATTTTCCTGGCACTGGCAGGCCAAGTACCTCAACAACCGCGAGGAGATGAACCAAGCCCTCACGAACTTCACGGATGCCCATAACAGCCTCATCCAAAACAAAGATGACTATATGAATAACCAGAACCTTGGTCCCATCAGTCATCATCCCCTAGGAAAATCCTCGAAACTGGATCGCTATATCAATATATAGATATTCGGCAGGAAAATGCCTAGGATGGGAAAAAACACTTGAACATGGGCTGCACTGGGTTGAGTTAGTCCATTCATGAGAAGGAAAATGAAGAAAGTTTATAATAAAATAGTGAGGTTTGGGGCCTACTTATCTACCGTCAACTCACTGGGTAGTTTACCTCAAAAACTTGACTTTCTAAATTGTAATGCAGTTTTCCAGCTGGACATGGGTATTTGATACCATTTTAATCAATTTCAAATTTCCCTAAATTTCCATTCCGGATTGGAACTGGGTACACATGCCACACGTTTGGCCCCATGTCATCCCATGTCGCATTTGGACGCCCAGGATGAACTCGTGGAATCGCAGCTTCTTTGAAAACCACAGGGCCAGGCAGTACAACCGCAACCGCCAGCGGGTGGGGCTTCCCAGTGACATCCAGTGACGCTGCAGATGTCTCGGAAAGTTGGAGGCAACCTGCTATGCTATGGCGTTCGTTACTGGATTATGTACAGATTGTACACACACATCGCTTTTAGCTGCAGGAATTGCTGAGGCTAGATTGTTTCTCATATATCTCTTGCTTCTCTGTTCCGATCCGGAATGTGGTGCGAATGGTCCCAGGTGCAGTTCCAAGCTTTGATGGTTCAATTGCCCCCCTTTAATTATCCCGCTTGAAATTTTCCCTATAGAATGGAAATCCACCAGGCCCATGTAAAGCCTAAAAATAGGGGATTCCCAAAGCCAACAATTTTTCCCCAAACAGTGTGTCCACACTGAGGGGTTCTTACGGTAGGTGTTAAGGCTTGGTGTTCAATCGAGGTGGTATCGGAAGCGTCCGGCATTTTCCCCGTAAATTTCCGCACAAAATGCCTCTTGTGACATGTCCATGTGCATTTCAACTGCGCAAGCTCGCACAAAACGGGCGTCTCGGGCTTGGCGTACGGCACTGTTCCTGTAAATTTCCACACAAAATGGCTCTTGTGAAATGTCCGTGTACATTTCGACTGCGCAGGCTGCAGGCTCGCACAAAGTGTGCTTCCCGGTCTTGGGATTGGCTTTCCTCCTCAACATCGTCGTCTTCCTCCTCCTCCTCCTCCTCAACATCCACATCATCATCTTCCTCTCATCATCCTCTTCCTCATCATCATCCTCATCATCCTCATCATCCTCATCAGCATCATCACCATTACCATCACCATCACCATCACCATCGCCATCATCATCACCATCATCATCATCATCATCATCATCATCACCACCATCATCATCATCATCATCATCACCATCATCATCACCATCATCATCATCATCATCAACATCATCATCATCATCATCATCATCAACATCATCAACATCATCATCAACATCAACCTCATCATCAACATTATAATACATGATCTTTTATGATCTTTTTACTCCCCCCCCACACTGTTTGGGGTCTCTTGCCGGGATACTGTAGCATCTATTAATTTTGAAGGGGCCACACCCCGTTTGAGAGGCCATTTTGTAGGGATTTGCTTGCACCTTGCCATGTTGCAAGAGCGCTAAAATAGATGATTTAGGCATAAAATCACTATCATCTAGCAATCCCGAAATGCAGTTTGAAATCTTGGCTGGGTTGGGGCCATTCATTTTCCAAGGAATCATTTTGTTGATTTTAGGAGGTCATTTTGTAGGGAATTCTTTTTCGTGGAAAACTATCTGCGCCGCAAAATTTGTGCAGGGGTTTTGGCTATTGCATCAAAGCCCCATGCCTTGGCTTACAAAATGGGAGGGTATTCCCAGGATGGTCTGATGTACGGTGTTCTTTTGTACAAGTCACCCAAGCAGTTTGTAAGACCATGTAAGACTTGAATCACTTTGTAGATCTATTTAGAAGATCTTCGTAAATATGGAAAATTATGGAGGGAAACTGAACAATTGGTGGTGTGCTAGGTGCGCCCTATCATTTTTAATCATTTTTAGGGTTTATGTGGTGACACCCCTCCATTGTGTAAGAAAATGCAAAAAACCTTTACTCTGTGTCAACATTGCAACAAAAAAGGCAGCAAATATAAGTAAACCATAGTAAACCCATTTTGGGGATCAGGCTGCATGTTCCTACAAAATGAGGCCCTTTCTGGGGATCAGGCTCCGAGCATGCAAGCAAGGCTCATGCTCAGAATAAGATAAAAATCAGAAATCTGGGCAAAAAATACCTCCCTATGAGATTATCAGTTTGAGATTTTTCATGAACAACCCCCCTGCCATTTTGTAGGGAAAGTTTGAAAATTGCCCCGCTCATTGTGCAGGTTTTTTTGCAAATCCCCTAGGTTTCAGCCTACAAAAAACTGGCCTGACCTGTTGGGGTGAATTTCAAGGGGGGATCTTTAGCCGCTCACTGTGGATGGTTCTTGCACATCTTGATTCTCCAATCAACGGGCGGTTCAACATTTTTTTGGTGTGTGTCAAGAGTTACATCATATCGCAGTTTTTTTGTGGCACCAAGTGGTTGGGGCACTTTGCCCATTTATCTATATTTATCTCCCTTAACATCCTCCAGAATTGGATGATTGGGACATTGTACAGGGACCATCTATATTATTGTATATTTGCAAGTCAAACCAAGGTTCCCTAAGTTCCCTGTAGAGTTTCCCTTCAAACCACCGATTGATCTCCCACTTGTTTGATGACGTTCCGACCGTCACAAGGTCATGGACATCCGCAAAGTCATCGAGGAATGTCGCAGTGAAATCCAAGCGGCCAGCGAGGACGGCAAACGGTGCTGGGGTGGTTTAAGCCTGGAGGACAGTGCACGTGGGGATAGACAGTTAGCTGAGCTAGCTAGCTCTAATAACTACTGTAATGGGTGGTTATAAATTATAAATTACAATCGTTAATTGTAGGCATATAATAGTTAATTATAGTAGTCACATACAGAAATAGGTAATCGTAAACTAATTGTTTTTAAGCGTTTATGAGATACATTGACAATCATTGACATACATTGACCACATGGGATTGTCTGAAAATAGGGGAAACCCCAAGCTCTAGTGACTTCTAGTGGTTGAAAACCACATTTTCTTTATCAAAATGACAACATTTTCCTTATCAACATGACAGTTTGAGGGTATACCACATTTTTAGCCATACCCATGGGGGTTGAGGATTATCAGAAAATGGGATGCGGTGTTCAAAAAAATTGATGCAACGCCTTGGATGATGGTTTTTTCGTCAAAAAACCATCCCGCAACGATGCCAGCGATGCAACAGAAATGGGGATGGGATCAGCGACGTAGCTTGAACTTGATTTTAGACCATCAAATTTGGACAGAACCAAACACAAAACAAGAATCTTGGAGTGATCCCCCCCATTGGGGTCATCCTGGGATATCCTGGCTACCAATTGGGTGTGATGGAAAATTCTGACCTGTAGATTGGAGCGTGTACCTTTGAGAGATCCTATCTGCTGAAAGGACGGAAACGAGTACGACGAGGGCGACCTAGGCCCGATGTTGAGGGGTCTCTGGGGCCAAAACTTGCACTGGATGTGCAGCCATTCTTCTTTTGGAAGAAGATGAGGTTAATTAAATTTGTTGAAATTTACAACTAGTAAAAACCACTAATCAATATGAATTACATACAACCACTTGCGACATCACATGAAAACCGGGGCAAAAGTAGATTGTATGATATTGAAATAATTTCCATGTTGCTGTGTCTTTTTAAATGAGATAAATAGGAAAAAATGGCCAGAACATCATGAGGAAACAACTCTGCTGCCATGAAATTTGATCCCGTGACACTCTTGGAAAGGTGCCGACCCCTACAGCCGCTGAGCCTTTCAAGGCCCTTGCATGTCTCGTCTCACGAACTGAACCCGGAAGCGAAACCGGGGAGCAAAATGGGTGACATTATGCCAACCTGGGCAACCTGAATCGGGGTATTCTGCAGATGGATAGGTTTGATGTTTGTTTTTTTTGGAACCTGGAACCCTTGGAGGTTGGAAGAAGGGAAGTTTGAAGGTCAGTCAATGATAGACGCACAGTTTGAGTGAGTTTAGGAAGGCCTACTGATGGCGAAGGTATGTTACACATTTTAGTGCATATATATATATATAGCAAATGTGAACTTTGCTTCGCAAGAAAGTCGGATCATTCATTTTGCCCTTTGCCAAGTCACTTGCAGATGCAACAAATGGAGTGGATTCCAGCAGCCGGAGATGCGGCCTGCGTGGCACTGCGTGAGCCAAATCAAAGGTCCAAGAAGTTGAAAAAGTCAGTTGATGCAATGGATATCTATTTGAACAGCAATTGCCGTGATCAACAACGCAGAGAGAGAGAGATCATATAAACATATAAAAACATATCACATATTAACGTATGTAGAGAGATGTAACATTAGATAATATAGTACTCGTATAATATAAGTTTCTATGCTATGCTAATACACACGCATATATGTAATTATATGCACCATTACATATTTGTTTTACACATGGTATAGAGATGCCAACTTCAAACCCTGAGTTGGTCGGAACTTCTCAGCATTTTGGATACCCCTTGGCGATGGCTGGAGACCGATTTTTCCCGGTGGTGTCACCGACGCCGGCAGTGGAAGACTCAGTGCCGGCAGTGAGTGGTGGTGGTGGTCGGTGGTAGTAGTGCATGGTTTGCGGGAAGAATAGGTTGTTTTGCGATTTGTGTATGTATAATATATACATATACTGTATATATAAATATGTGTGTGTGTATTTGCATATAATATTACACATGGCAATGTGCCCGCCTTTGTCTCGCTCCTCAGTTGTGCCCGCACATGAACATAGATGACAGATAAACCGATAAACGACATTTCCATTCCCATGTTGGTTTGCCACAGGTGTCCACATGATTATATCAGTGCTTCATTATATTCTTAGTTCTCCCACTTTGTGGCGAGGTGAATATCTCCCCCTTTTGGTCACCCTCCAGCCGGTCTCATCAAAATATGTTGGCTGAGGCCCCATTGATGCCTCTAAATCCCCTGCAGGTGCAATATCCAGTTCTATATATATAATTACGTAATATTGCCAATATATTACCCACATACTGTATACCACATATCATATCCCAAAGATGTAGAAATCCTTGATCTTCCCAGTTTTCTGACCCTTCAGGTGCCGTCCGCCCGGCTGAAGCAACGCTGGTTGGACTTGGCACCGCCCGCGCCGTTGAAGGCCAGGAGTGCGGAAAAGAACTGCGACCAAAACCTATGGAAAAGCCAGGTGAAAGGTACCAGTAGGTTGATGGATGATTTTATGCGATTTTCATGCAATTTTTCTGATATTTTCTGGTGCTGTTCATTGATTTTCATCCTGTTTCTTACCAGACCACGTACTTGGAGGAGGAATATGCTTAAGTGGGGTGACAAACCAACAAGATCCAACAAGTTACAATCTGTGGTTTACGAATTGAGACACGAAATGGCCCGGAAACGCAATTTACAGCTATCATGATCTTGAAAGTTTCCCAATTGGAACCTCCGAATCTTTTAGGAACTGCTGTGGGCAGGTTTTACCATCAACAATGTCTTCGCCAATTTCAATCCGAATTAAGCATGGATCTCCAAAAATAGATCAGTTGCAGCATGGTTCATCCACCAACCCTGGTTGATCCTTAAACCCTCTGTGGAACATCAATCACATGGCTAGCTGGGAAATCCCGAACCAAAAACATCGAACAATTGCTGGAGATTTTCCGGCAAGACATGTGACTGATTACCAGAGGGTACCCGATGCCCCTAATAATGCCCTAATAAACTGTGTTTTTTTCTTTCTCTTTTTTGATCATTAAAAAGAAACCAGCTAGATAGATTAAATATCACCATAAATAAATAATCAAATAAATAGATACATAAATGTAAAGAAATAAATATATAGATAAGTAGATAAATAAATAAATGATATATATATATGTATATATATATATCTGTCTGTGAGGTTGTTGGTGCGTAATATCTTATTGATCAGCTGTATTATTTGGGGTTCAAAATCGGCAGGCCACTTTGGCCAATGTGGCCCATTTGGAGCACCTCGACTATGAATGGTGCGGTGTGAGGTCATGGGGAGGTCCTGATATCATGAAAATGCCGCGTTTGCACGTCGTACTGGCGCAAATGTGGTAGCCACAAATCCATGAAAAAACATTTATGGAATGAATTGGAAAGTCAATGGGTAAACCATTTTGGAACCAGTTATAAAGTGACATATGGACAATTGGCAAAACATTTGGAACCACGTATAAAGTCACACTGGACACAAGGTGGTGCCCCGCCCCAGTTATAAATGGCTTATAATCCCTTTAACTATAGATATATCACCTATTATATCACCAACAAAATAGAGAAATTGGACTAAGATTTGCACCAACTTAGCGTTTTAGCTCACTGGGGCACCCTGCATCATTGGCCAATTGCTGCTGGAAGAGGACCGGCATGATCATCCCGGCGGACGATGAGGAAGTGGCCAAGATGATGTGCAGGAGCCCGTTCCAGTGGTCAAGATTTATGTTTTAATGGGAATTTTAATAGGATTGTAATGGGATGTTCATAGGATTTTTAATGTGGTCTTAATGGGATGTGATTTTAATGGGATTTAAGAGGCTTTCAGTATGTTTCAGTGGGTTTAATGGGTTTATATTATATTTCTATAATAACGAGTCCGGGAATCAAACATGGTGCGCCGGTGGGATATCTCGAGCTAGCCATGGAGGTCTTTGTTGGAAAATCATGGAACTCTAGCTGGGGGAGATTTCCAGCCAGCCATGTGATTGATTTCCCCGAGGGTAAGCAGCAGAAGCCCCTAGCATTGGGGTGGAAATCATAGGTAAGCCCCCTTGGAGCCAGAGGCCTTCCACATTGCTTGAGGCCCTACACAAGTGTGGGCAGCACGAATTTCAACGAAAGCTGCTCCCTGGATGTATATAGGGTGAAGCCGATGTGCCGATGGAGAAGGTATTGAAATTTTCCACCATATTTCAAGGACAAATCCGGGGATCAACCTTGTAACCCAATATTTCACAAGCAAACGACGAAGAAATTCCCATTGGCCAGATCTATAATTATCAGTAGACAGATGGAGAGAATTAGGGGTGGAAAGCTACCTATAGTGGCCTCAAAAAGTGTCTATTCGGGGCTGTCGGAACCCCACAGACAGCCTAGAGGTGAGTGACAATGGCTGCTAACCAATTGTCCCCAGTCCATCCCTACTGGTATTACTGCACTGCTCAATATCATGTTTGGCACCGAAATTCTAAAGCCATCTAAAGCCTGTGACTTTGCATGGCATCTCCACTATTTTGTCAAGTGGGATTGTCTGAAAATAGGGTATATTCTCAATTATAGCCATTTAATAGGGATAATGATCATTAACCATTGGGTTTAGGGGTACACTATTTTCAGACACACCCAATGCAAAGCTTCAAAAAACACTCAGCGGCATGGTCACCCCAAGGCGTCACATTGTCCGCGGCTCCAAGGTTCACAGTTCAGTTTTCGACCCTCGACCAGCCTCTATTCTGGGCAGTCACGGTGCAGCTCCAGGAATGCTATGGCTGCTATGGGAAGGGGATAATCAGGTTGCTTAACGTCCAAAGTTCAGGCCACATCCTCGCCGACTGGGGGACCACCCTCCAAGACTAGCCATTATCCAGTGAAGATGGGCTGGTGGCCTTGTTTTGGGACCCTGAAACCAAACAGCTGATGGAGAACCAACCATCCTGATGATTTCAACATGTTCACAGCCGCTGTTCCATGATTTCAACCCCCTTCTCCCAAAAAACAGGTGATCCCGGCAGCTTCATTGCAGCACATTTTTTGGACCTGTGACCGCAAGATCTCCTCAGGGGATCGTGATACAATTATACAAGATCCCTGTACAAATATCTGCCAAAGGTCTCTTGGCAAGCACTCTAGACAAGCTCACCATTGAAGATCCCTAAGTGAAAATCTCAGCCAAGGTCGTACTTCCACGTGAAGATCATTGATGCTTTGGTGTGACATTTCGGCTTGGACTTATGGATCACAGGGATCCTTTGAGTCTCGTTTTACCTCAACTCGTTGTGCCATGTGAGTGAAACAGACCGATTGCATTTGCTTCCTTTTTGCAAGTGGTGGCATCAGGGTTGTTACAAGTTGGCACCGGAGCCGGCCTGGCAGTGTCGACTTTGACATGGAGCCGTTGGATGAGCTGGAATTTCCTCCCGACGTGTCCCATGGATTTGCTGCAGTTGCTTCTGATGACCCTGCCAGGATATCGATACCAGGAAATGAGCCCAATGCATGGAGTCAGCGTGATGCCGACCATTTTGAGGATTGGACCTGGCGATGCTTGGCTTGTGACTCTCAGGGGTGTGGATGGTCGAATGGTTCCTGGGTGTGCAGTGCGTGTGGACGCCATGAGTTTTACCGCTCCAATCAGCCCGCCAAGAAGATGACACAGGATGGCACATGGATGTTCATACCCCATGGCCACACTGAGCGCGTTTCGCCCCTGAGTAAGTCTGCTCGGCGTCGGAAGAGACGCGTGAATGCTGGTGATCCTTCTGGTTCGAGCGTTGATGGTGGTGAGTTTGACCCTGAGGAAGAGTCCCACACTACAGACCAAGTTGTTGAGCCAAGCGTTAGGGCCCCAAGTGTTCACTCACAGCCTCGAAGGTTGCAACCGAAGTTGCAGCCGCAATCTCAGAATGCAATGTCATCGAATGCTGACCAAGATCGTTTGTTAGATGCCCTCCGTCGCCTTGTCACTTCGAAGAAGCAAGACGATGATGACTGGAGTTCTCAAGCGGGTCCTCAGAAAGGCGTTCGATGGCGTGGTGGTGCAGTCCCACAGCCTCTTCAGTGGCGCTATGATCGTGATGACTTGCGCGCGTACAGCAAGTTTGTCAAGAAAGTTGACATCTGGAAGTTGCAGGCTGCCCCGTTCATGTCCAAAAAAGAGATGTCCCTTGCCTTGTACAACTCTTTACAAGGTGAAGCAGAGCAGGAACTGGAGCATACGCCAATTGAAGAGATCCACTGCGATGATGGAGTAGACAAAATTCTGCGGGCTTTGAAGGGCCCGATGGAGCAGAAGGTTGTCTACCAGAAGAGAAAGTTCCTTCACGAGTTTGAAAACTTGCGGAGATATGCTGGAGAGACTATGAGAGCTTACATCAACAGGTTCAGACGCTCCCAACGGTGTTTGAAATCTGTTGGAATTGATGTTTCCCTGACTTATGATGATGAGTCGATGGGAGCGCGGTTGCTGGACAGATCAGGCTTGTCTCAAGAAGGCCAACGCATGATTCTGGTGGGAACTCAGCAGCGATTGAATTTTGATTTGATCGTGGACACAATGCTTTTACAATACCCTGAGTTTCGCGGTGCTCCACCGGTTGTTGGTCGTGATGGTTCAGCAGTTTCCAAAGGCTCCACGAAGGGTTCACGTCCTATGTCCTCCTCCTCTTCCTCATTGTCCAGTGGCTCTACGTTCACCTCAACTTCTGCGAGCTCCTCTAATAAGAATGTTTTTGCTGGAAAAGGGAACAATGTGAGACGTCAAGTCCACCTTGCTGAGACCAGCGCAGACCAACAGCATGATGAGGAGTTCATGGATACAATTGATGAAGAACAACCGAATGACCAAGATGATTCAATTCAAGATGATCCCGGTGAGGACCAAAACGAAGATGGCGCAGATGGCAATGATGATGATGTGGATATGGGTGAGCTTGCACAAGTCCTCACCTTGACAGCAAAGAAGCTCAGTAACATCACTCTGGGTCGCAAATTTACCAATAGACCGAAGAATGGCCCAAAGACCAAGCTCACTGCCCAGGACAAGTCCACCACGCACTGTTCTGCATGTGGGGGTTTAGGTCACTGGTACAAAGACCCAGAATGCCCCAAAAACATTGGGGGATCTGGTGCGGCACCGTCAGACAAAAGGTTTAACTCCAAAGGTTCTGGTCCCAAGGGTTCATCGACTCACAAGGTTGGCATCATTCACCATGACTATGGAAGCCTCGAGATCCACGAAACCCCTGAAGAGGAGTACGGAAATGTTTTTTCAGTAGGGATGGTTGGACATAAAAGCTTCCAGGTGAATGAGATCAACTTTCATGCCGCCGACATCTTCAAGGGTTACATGGTCATTGACACGGGCTGCCAACGAACATGCTGTGGTCAAGATTGGTTGCGTTCACACATGCACATGTTGGAGAAGTTTGGATTGATCCCCAAGATGGTCAAACAACGTGATGAATTTCAGTTTGGTAAGGGTGAGCCATCTGTCTCGCATGACAGGGCCTACCTGCCTTCAGCCATTTGCGGAGTGCCTTTGCTGCTGGGAACCTCAGTTTTGCAAGAGCGAGTGCCGTTTTTGGCATCCAACAGTTTGCTCACTCAGCTTGGTGCAGTTGTCAATTTAGTTACGGACACAGTTTTTTTTGAACATTTGGGAGTTGAAGCCAAGATTTTTCGTTTGGGTGGTCACATGGCTGTGCACATTTTGGATTTCAAAGCACAGCGTCCTTCAGAGATGCCAGTTTGGAAACAATTTTCACGTCCATGCGTTTGGAAAAGTCCGCACCCGGAGTTTATCTTGAGCACTCAAAGCCCTCAACCTGGTGATTCTGTGCACCTTCAGACCAATGCGGCAAGCACCGCCATGTTGGTTGCAGAGGTGGCGCCGGATGACCCTCTTTCTCAAGAACGCCTTCAAGGAGTTCCTCCTTCATATGATGATGGCAATTCGCCTTCAGGTCTTGCCAAGAGATGCCCTCCAAGCAATTCCTCCGGTGATCCACGGCATCATGAACAACCCAATGACTTGCAACCATGCGAGATGCCGAAGGTACGGAAACATCCACGGCCGATTTGCCGAATGCCTGGAGTGCAAGACAAAGTGGAAGTGGAACGAAGACAACAAGATGTGGGTGGAACATGGGCGACCAGGGCGCTCATTGCGCTCGCAACCCTTGCCACTGCCGTCTTCAAGCAACACAATCTCTTCCACACCATACCCCAAGAGCCAGATGTCTTCAGCCTTGGCCAAGGCCAAGCCCAAGTCGAGGCCACGTCGTCCTCCTCCAGCTCACAACATCAACAGTGGATGGGCCAATTTTTCAGCTATGGACCTGATGTTGGACCATCTCACGGTCGAGCAGAACAACGAAGTGTTCCTGATCACACAACAGATGTCGCCTCTGGAAATGGAGCCGACCAACATGGCGGAGTTTGCATTCCTCAACGAGGAGATTCATCGCGAGTCCAGAGAGGAGATGGAGCGACAGCAGGATCAAGAGCGATGGGACAGGCTGATCGCCTTGGGAGTCATTCTGGCTCCGGACGACGAAATCTACGATTGGGAACAGCTGGAGCAATCAAACCTGGCAATGTGAAGAGACTGCGTGGTGAGTGGAAGAAGTCAGCTAGACTTCTTGACATGGAGCATTCGGTCTACATGGCATCTTCAACTGTCTCAGACCGTCCCTCACCATGTGCGGACCTGTGGGAACTATTTGCCGGAAGAGCTCTATGCACAGAACTGGCATCTGAATATGGTTTGAACGCATTGCAGCCATGAGATCTGATTTACGGTCAAGACCTTATGCAGAGTTCCATGCGGCATGAAGCAATGAGAGTTCAGAAACGTTTCAGACCTTTTCTTCTGATGATGAGATTGGATGAATGGTATCATTTGCAACTGCAAGATCGACCGTTGCTTGATCTCACCGCTGACTTGGCAGAAGTTCAGCACAAGCATGGAAGATTTTTTTGGATTGAAAGCCCTCAGAACTCAGAAGTATGGGAGCAAGATCGCTTACAACGCCTTTTGAGTCTGCCTGGCGTTTGGAGCGTGGTTGTTGATGCCGGTGCTTTTGGAGCTCAGATTGACGGCAACCCTATTGCCAAACCATTTCGTATTGTTGGAAACATGCCTGGCTTGGATGAGGTGCTGGATCGTCGATTGACTGCAGATGAGCGGCTTCAATGTGTCAAGGTTGAAGGTTCCATGACACGCCGTTCTCAAGAATATCCCTATGAAATGTGTCATGCAGTTGTTCAGCACCTCAAGCAGTATGTCCAACAGAAACAACCTCATCGTTTTTGTCATGTCCACCAAGCTTTACCAGTTCAACAGCCAGTTGCAGATCTCCAGCGATGGGACCAAGTGGTCGAACAACTTGATGTCACCTATGACAGGTCTTCACGACGTCCCTATGAGATTGGAGTTGACACTGAGCTTGGACGTACCATCCAAAACTTGCTAAGGATTGATGCTAACAGAATCCAGGTGGTCTCCAACCCAACAACTCGGAGATTCCCTGGTCTGGTGAAAGACTTTCCTGCAACAAGAGCTGCATTTTTGATGTACAATGATGGTACTAAAGCGGTTGAAGTTGAGGACATGCAAGATGTCCAGTTTCCCAAACAGCGTTTTTCAAAACCTGTGCGCATTGCAGTGTTTGTTTTTGGTAGTCGTCGAGATGTTCCAGAAAAAGAAACTGCTGCAGTTCCAGGTGTTGTGCCCAATCTTTCTACCGACATCGACTTCCCAGGCTTGTCGCCAACCATTCCACAGGAAGTTCGATCTGCGGTGGCACGCATGCACCTGAACATGGGACATTGCTCCCGACAGGAGCTTTCAAGACTTCTTGCCTATCAAGGTGATGTGCCTGATCAGGTTTATGAATGTGTTCGGAAGCTCAGATGCGCAACATGCGAACGCTTGCGACCTCCACAACAACCAAGACCTTCAGCTACCCCCAATTTCTTTGCGGGACAGTTTGGAGATGAGTTGCAGATGGATATTTTTCACTGTCGAACTCTTGAAGGTGAGTCGTTCAAAGTTTTGGGAATTGTTGACAAAGCGACTGGATTCCACCAAGCCATTGCCCCAACTGAGAGCAGCAGTGATCACATGTTCGAGTGTCTGGAGCAGATCTGGTTTAGACCATATGGCCTGCCACTGAAGATTGTGGCAGATCCAGACACCTCTTTCAGGGGAGATTTCCAAGAGCGAGTTCAAGCTATTGGATGCAATCTTGAACTTTGCCCTCCCGAAGCTCACCACATCATTGGAATGGTGGAGAGACGCAATGCTGTGTTGAGACTTGTCCTTGAGAAGCTGATAGATCAATTTGCTGCCACGACCGTTGAACAGTGCAAGCTATTGCTTTCCTCAGCTTGCCATGCAATGAATGGAGCAATCCATACTCATGGCCATTCGGCTTATCAAGCAGTGTTTGGCCGGCAACCAAGGCTACTCAACAGCAACTTCAACGATCCAATGAATTTGGCAACCTCACCACCTGTTGCAAAGCTCCAGGACGAGGACTATGCTTACCGCGCTGAACTTGTGCGAGCGGAAGCTGTCAAAGCCATACATGACTTGGATGTGAGTCGACATTTGCGTCGAGCCTTGCTGCGAAAGACTCGCAACACCAAGGTCGCAGATGTTCTTCCTGGTCAACGTGTTGCTTTTGGAGATGGGCAAGGAGAGGTGGAAAGAAACGTGGCACTTGGGTCACTGCGACATTCCTGTCGTGGGATCCGTCAGCAGTTGGCAAGCAAGCTTGGGTTCGTTCTGGTGGCAGCAGTGTACTTGTGACTTCTGAGCAACTGAGATGTGCCTTTGGTTTTGAACAATGGTCTGCAGATGAGACCGACATCAAGGCCTTGAAAGACGCAACTCAGGACTTTGGCAAGTACTTGTTGGATGATAGAGGCCCAGCACCACCAGAAGAACATGCCCTTCATGATCCATATGATGACATGAACGAATACCATTATGGAGTTCCAATGACACCATCCATGATGGTTCCAGCTACGCCAGTTGAACAACATGTTTCAATACCACAACCTACTACTCCCACACCACAACAGCCAATGCAACGTGACTCACCAATACCTCAACCTCACCAATTGGAACTCCACCAAACAACAGAACAATACAACATACACATTGACAGTCCTACTCACATTGGCCAACAGGTCAACCAGCAGCACAATCGTTTTGGTAATGTCCCAAAACGAACACAACAGAGGTCCCGCACACCCACATCCAAACGGATTGGGAGCACACCAGCACAGAGAGCCACACAACAGGCTCTACCACCACCTATGGCAGAACAACCTGCCTTGCTGGAACAACCAGCAAGCACAGTACAGCAACAAAGCTCACATCACTCACAGGCACCAGCCAATGTACAGCCGGCACAAGCAGTTTCACAGCCTACCATTTTGGAGGCAGCAGGCCAGCAGGCCACATCAGACACCCAGCCAGAGCAACAAAGGACTGAGGTCACTGAAGCGGAAGCTAATCCAGATGTCCTTCACCCATCAACAACAGGGACGGAACTGGATGTCCAACAACCACAACCAGATGATACAATGGATCCACCTTCGGATCAACAGCTTCCACAAAAACGGCCTTTTGATTCCTTAGCAGTTTTGATACCAACAGTGGAGAACTACTTGGTGCGACCACATGCCTACTCAGATGCTTCACCAGACATTGGTTTTGGTCCACCTCACAAGGTCTTCCACTATGCGTACCTCACCACTAAACAACGTGAGGAAGATGTCAAGCGGATCAATAAGGATCCAACTGAGTCTGATACAACTCAAGGTTCAGACACTGATGACGATGATGATCAACAACCACTCCAGACCAGCAACGAGACGTCATCAGCACCTCCAGTGTACAAGCAAGGCATGACCAGACAAGAGGTCAAAGCCCTCGATAGAGAAATACCATGGAGGAAAGTGCTTGACATGCCAGAGTCCTATGTGGACAAATTTTTGGCGGCCATCACCAAAGAAGCTGAGTCATGAGCTTCTTGGAACTCGGTCGAGCCATTGACCGACAAGCAGGCAGATGAGGTGATGAAAGACCCAAAGTTGAAGAAGAGAATTCTGAAAAGCCGTGCGCTTTATAGAGACAAATCATGCGGAGTTGGTGATGTCAAAGCAAAATGCCGTGTAGTGGCTTTAGGCCATCTCGATCCGGACCTGGAGACACTTAACAGAACTTCAGCGACTCCTGGCCGCATTGCTGAGCATCTTGTCTTCGCTATGATTGTTGCCGGTTATAACTCAGAATTGTTTGGGTCAATGCTCCAGTGGTTTGCGTGGATTGGTGACGTTGCTACTGCATTCCTTCAAGGAGTTCAAGAAGAGCGTGCACTTCCCTTGTTTCTACTTCCTCCACGTGATGGCTTGATTGCAAAAACATCAACATGGTTGTCAAGACTGTATCGCATCCGCGGCAATGTCTATGGGTTGTCTAACGCTCCATACACTTGGGCAGCTGAAGTGACCAAACGGCTCAAAACCTTGGGCTACGTGCAACACTCCTTTGACCGTCAGCTGTACTACAAGGTTGTTGATGGAGAGATTCAGTCAATCATTTTGGTGTATGTTGACGACTTCATTGGCATCAGCAGGTCAGATTATCCACTGTCAGAAGTTCATGGACTCTTCAAGTGGGGAGCCTTGTCGAATTTGGAAGTTGACAAGCCAACTACTTTCAAGGGCAAGGAGTTGACCTTGCAAAGAAATGCTGATGGAAGATTCACTATGAAAATCACCATGGAGAAGTTCATTTCAGGTCTAGAAGAGGGAACGATTCCTCGCGGAAGGTTGCAGCAGAGTGAAAAGCTTTCACTGGATGAACAAAAGGAACTGCGCAGTGTTTCTGGATCGCTCCAATGGCTGGCGACTCAAGCACGACCTGAGATTGCACCTGTGGTCAGTTTAACTGGACATGGGGAGATGGCAACTATCCACGACCTCAAGACCTTGTATGACACCCTGTCTTATCTCAAGCGGACTCCGATGTTTGGCATCATGATGCAAGATGTTCCGGTCTCTGCACAGACCATTGTTTTGGCCTACAGTGATTCGAGCTGGGCAAATGCATCAAAGAGTGGAAGTCAAATTGGAGCAATCATTGGGTTAACGACTTTTGACGCAAAACACCAACCTGCAAAGTTTTCAGTAATTGACTGGAAGTCTTCAAGAGCAGTACGTGTTTGCCGAAGTACGCTTGCTGCCGAGGCTTCAGCTGCAGACGAGGCTGCCGACCGAAGCTGCTATGTGAACATGCATCTTGGTGAACTGGTGCATCAGCAGCCTGCGCATCGAGTTGGAGTGCGCCTTGCATCTCTCCAGGCAACGGATGCCAAAAGTTTGTTTGATGCAGTGATATCACCAAATACCATGACCAATGACAAACGAACCATGGTGTCAATTCGAGCCATTCAAGAAACTGTAACAAATGAAACGATGCGATGGGTTCCAACTAGATTTCAGTTTAGTGATGGTCTCACCAAGGTTGGCGAAAAAATAAGATGGGTGTTTTCAAAGTGGTTGCAAAACCCTGTAGCGATCATGGCTGAACATCCTGCGAATCAGACTTTCGAACAGGAATACTTTGGCCACAAGTTGGCGAAGCACGAAGACTTTTCAATGTCGACAACAAAGCATCAAAAGAAAAACACCAGTGAAAATCTCAGCCAAGGTCGTACTTCCACGTGAAGATCATTGATGCTTTGGTGTGACATTTCGGCTTGGACTTATGGATCACAGGGATCCTTTGAGTCTCGTTTTACCTCAACTCGTTGTGCCATGTGAGTGAAACAGACCGATTGCATTTGCTTCCTTTTTGCAAGTGGTGGCATCAGGGTTGTTACAAGACTAAGAAAGATCTCTACGGGAGATCTCATGAGGTCTCTATGTCAGAATGCTGCAAGACCTCCTTGTCAAGATCTCTGCACAAGAGCTCCTTGATTAGCAGAATGAGCACCGTGCCGCAGCTACAGCGATGTGAAAACCCAAAGTGACGCAAGGGTTGCGCGAGCCATCTCAAAATGAGCAATCTGACAAGCCCAAACCAACGAGGGGGTTGCGTGAGCGATCCCCAAATGAGCGCCGCGCCACAACAAGAGCGATCTGACAGGCCGAAAGTGATGAGAGGGTTGTGCGAGGGATCTCCAAATGAGCACCGCGCCACAACGAGAGCGATCTGAGAGGCCCAAAGTGACGAGGGTTGCGCGAGCAAGCGCGAAACAAGCACCGCGCCACAACGAGAGCGATCTGAGAGGCCCAAAGTGACGAGAAGAGGTCTCCGGGCAACCGTTTCGTGCGAGACGTCCTTCGAAAACAGAAGATGAAGGATTTTTTGTGTTGTAAGGCTAAGAGTCACAATACATCACAATATTTGCTGCTCACGGATCCCAAGCCCAAGGCTTCCGTCAAAAACAGAAGACGAAGAGGCTACTTTTGTGCTGTAAGGGTCATCAAAAACGGCGCGCACTTATGAGACCACCTCGACACCCCTCCTAACCCTTACCATAAGAACCCCAAGCGTGGCGGACAAAAAGGGACTAGCATCATCAACCAAAGCATCACTCCTTTCCCCTTAAGATTCACCATCCCCCTAAAAACCTTAGCATTAGATCTATTCGTTTTTAAATGGGCCCAGAATATTGGATATTACTTATCAGGGGATGAGCTTATGTAAACAAACCATAGTATATAAATCATCACAAACCATCAAAAAATATCAAAAACATGAGCAATATCAAGCAAATCATCAAAATCCATCATGAATCCATCATAAATCCATGCAGCTGATGCCTTTCAAGCCATGATGGAAGTGGCTTTCCCCGCCGCCTCCAGCGCTGCCCATGGCCTCCCCGTGTGCGCCGCACCACGCGCCGCGCCCCGTGGTGCCCCGCGTCCCTTGCACTGCGCAGTCGCCGCGGCGGGCGCGGTGATCGTGTCGCGGATGAGGCGAAGTGGACGCAGGGCACAGGTGAAGGAGGTGGAGATGCCCTTAGAATCCTGGACTTTGTTGAAAGGCAAGTCTCATGTCAATGATTTTTCTATATTTTGGGATTTTGTTGCAATGATTTTGGGGTTGATACCCTTCAGATCCCTTCAGTAAATTAGTAAAACGAGATCAAAAAACCAGTGTTTCCCTAGGAAATGATCGATCAATGGCATATGGATGGCAATGGCAGATTGTTCCCCACCTGCCAGGTGAGGGTTGTTAGATTTTATGTCAGTTGCCTCCTCCTCCTGCCGCCTCCTGCCTCCTGCCTCCTCCTCGTCCTCCTTGTCGTCCTTGTCGTCCTCGTCGTCCTCGTCGTCCTCGTCGTCAACTGCGACCCGCGATCCACAGTGTTCGCTGCCGGACCTCAACCACGACCATCCACGACCAGTGTTCCCTGCCGGACCTCAACCACGACCAGCCACGCCCAGTGTTCCCTGCCGGACCTCAACCACGACCAGCCACGCCCAGTGTTCCCTGCCGGACCTCATCTGCGAGTATCCATGCCAAGTGTTCCCTGCCGGACCTCAACCGCGGGTATCCATGCCAAGTGTTCCCTGCCGGACCTCATGTAGGAAGATATGGGACAAAGAATGTGCAGAAGAAAGTTAGAAAGAATGTCAGAAAGAATGTCAGAAAATATGCCAGAAGATATGCCAGATAGAATGCCAAATAGAATGCCAGATAGAATGCCAGATAGAATGCCAGATGTCAGAATATATGCCAGAAGATATGCCAGATAGATATGCCAGATAAGATATGCCAGAAGATATGCCAGAAGAATGCAGATAGATGCCAGAAGATTTGCCAGATAGAATGCCAGAAGATATGCCAGAAGATATGCCAGAAGATATGCCAGATAGAATGCCAGAAGATATGTCAGATAGAGTGCCAGAAGATATGCCAGATAGAATGGCAGAAGATTTGCCAGATAGAATGCCAGAAGATATGCCAGATCATATGCCAGAAGATATGCCAGATAGAATGCCAAATAGAATGTCAGAAGATATGTCAGATAGAATGCCAGAAGATTTGCCAGTAAGAAAATGTATAAATGTCATGGTGGGGATCACACGAAGTAAAGTAATTTATTTTTTTTGTACATGTTTTTAAAACTGTTTTTTCATGTGTTTTATTTCCGTAAATCATCGTATAATATCGTATACCTATGATTATCCATGTAAGTTTGCTGGAGGGCATATTTTCCCAGCACTGGGACCCTACTCTATGCTCATTTATTGGAGCTATTGACTTTGGAGGTGGGGGGATGTTTTTCTTGATTGATGTGTCCCCTGTTTCCCTAGTGGAACCGATATTAAGACCACCATTTGTTGGGAAACTGTTGGGCATAGTGTTCCACGGGCTTACTTCCCTCATGGGTTGGTGCTTGCATTTGGGTGAATTGTTTCATCGGGATTGCCCCCGGATTTTTCATTTCCCATCGGTCAATCTCGGCAAATCCAAGGAGTCCTTGGTGGAAGTGCAGGGTGACTATGTCAAGAACCTCCCACCTGAAAGGCTCGAGGGACTCAGAAGACTTTTCCCGGAGGTGGATGTGGAGACAGAGGGGCTTCGATTGGTTCATGAGGACCGTGGAGGCCTTGCGATGATGAAGTGAAGTCCCACTGCGCTGCTGGGATGGTGGTAACCCCTTTCAACATGTTATACATGTTCAACCAATCAAAATTTCGAAGATCTTGGACATGTTCCATATTTTCCATGGATTTTCCATCTATTTTCCCCTGGATTTCCAGGACCCCCCAGTGCTGCTGCTGGAGAACGTCCTGGACTCCTCCGAATGCGCGGCCTTCGTGGAGTCGATGCGCTCGGAGGATGGGACCTTTCCGGAACGCCTGGGACAGGCCAACCTGGACGTGCCACCTGGTGAATGGTTGGGGAATGGTGGGTGAAATCATGGATGATAATATCTATATCTAAAATTATCTAAATCTATATTAATCTATAATCTAGATCTATAACATTCTATAACTATATCATACTATATCTATATATCTAATTTCTTCATAACTATATTATGATTATATATATATGTCTATATCTATATCTAATATCTATATCTACATCTAATAAGTATTACCTAATATCTAAGTTTTATATCGATATCTATATGTATATATATATATGAGTATATGGGTATATGGGTGTGTATATCCATATCCATATCCATATCCATATCCATATCCATCCATCTATCTATCTATCTATCTATATTAGTTATGTCTGCATATACTTAATGGATCTTAATGGCTACTAGGGTGAATGGCTGGTGATTTGATGGATTCTTTTTAGTTGATAAGTATTATATGTACTTGATTGATATTGCTGTGGTTTTGCTGGAATGGTTTAATTAATTTGGTTGGTTGATTTTCGAGTGGCTTTGATGGGTATTATTTTAGCAGGTATTGTTGATACTGGATGTGGCGGGCATGATCTTAATAGTTCGTTACATGAGATGGTCCTATGATGTCCTGTGGATATTGACGATATTGATGGGCATTGCCAATGGATATTGATATTGGTGGCTAGTAATTGGATACATATCCACTTATCATATTCACTAATAAAAATAATCACATTCATTAACCATATTCGTGATATGTAATGGCTAATAAATGGTTGTGGTAAATGGTTGGTTGGGTTTGGCTGACGGGTAATGGCGATGGCGGCCACGTGGCCGCCAGGATCCGCCACTGTCACTAGCCAGTCAGTAAGTATACAGTAACCATCCCAAAAAAAAAGGCAGAACAGTAAAATCCCACTAGAATAGTGATAACTCTTTGTAATTAGTCTCCGGTAATTTAACATAGCTATCGAAAATGGCCCATAGAAATAGTTGATTTACCAAAGATGAATTTTAATCATGGTGATTTTCCAATTGGCTATGTTGAATTTCCAGAGGCTAAATCCACCTAAATCCAATATTAACATGCAGAAAATCGGGATTTCTACCACCGAACTAAAGCCGATTTAGGCCCAGCTGGCTGGGCCCGCTGCGCACGGCCTTCCGGGGTGTCCCTGTGTTGGACTGGCTGGGCAATCCGACGGTGCGGTGGACGTACCGAAGCAGGCGGCTGCCTGGTGATCTTTGCTGCATGAGGATTGATGCTCGTTATTTCACTGTTTTTTTACCTTACCTTACCTTACCTTACCTTACCTTACCTTACTTACTTACTTACTTACTTATTACTTACTTATTACTTACTTATCTTATTTGCTCTACTTTGCTTTACTTTACTTGATTCAGTTGCTTTCATACTTTCTCAATACTTACTTGCTTACTTATTTTGTCGGGTCATGTGGGGTCCGGTACTAGACCAAGGTTTCCGCCTTTATCTGTCTTCTGGGTGGAAGGGATTTTTTTCGGGGCATGTGAGCTGCAGGGTTTTAATGGGTTTTATCCATGGCCATTTGGATCGCCTCCTGCGGATGGGTCCAAATCATTCGTTGGAACCAGGTTTTCTCCACATTCCTTCCGGTCGACGGGGCACCATTGGGATCAGAAGAATGGTCACTGCTACTTTGGTAACTTATGCATTTTTTTTGACAACGTACATCTAATAAATAGGCAATTTCCCTTAGCTATGTTGAATAACTGCTGGATGAGACTTTGGCACGAATGGAAAAAGTCTCCCAGTGGTTCTCTTGGAATGATGTTATCAAAGATGCTAGTTGGACAAGTGCCATCTACTCAGGTGTATGAAGAAATCCATTTGACAAAATCCCTAAATTGCCGAGACCGTTTCTCCCCCAAAGGGGGGGAGGTAGATCAATCCCAGGCTGCTCCCATGTTACATTTCCATACATTTTCAATCTTGACATGGAAGCAACCGCCAAGAAAAGGTATGTTGTGCGGCCGATGTTTGGGTTTAGACCTGGCTTCCTGAAAAGCCGTGGCCAGGTGTTTGTTGGACAGTTTCCTCCAAAAGGTGCGCGAGAAATGCGGTTTGGATACCTCCTTCGGCCAAGCCAATATCAAGCACTACCGAAAGGACAGCTGCAATCCCTTGGATGCCTTGGCTCATGGCGCATCTTTGCATCAGATGGATCAAAAACATAATTTAATGTGGCTAAGACAATGCCATAAACCAACCATTTGGGAATGGTAACCATACCACCTATAAGAATGGTGATGGCTGGGGGATGGTGCAAATGGCATTGTTTTACCCACATTGAAAACATATATAGCATATCCATATGTCCCGATCCCTTCCAATCATCCCCAATCATCTCCAGGAACAGTGGCTGCCCGTACATATCGACTACAACAGGGCGACGATGCTGACGCGGCTTGACGTCATGGACCCACTGGAGGTTGGTGCTAATCCGTTATGACCCCTTTTGGGTCACTATTACCTATGAATATAAACATATATAAATAAATAAATAGATAGATAAATAAATAAGTAAAAATACATATATAGATATAGATATATGTATATATATATACATAATATATAATATAGTATAGTATAGTATCTTCAGAATCCCAGATGAGTATTGGAATGCATCTGATTTGCTTGGTTTGGGGCGATGGGACAGGTTGGTATGAGAAAGGATGGGATTATAGTCAATGGTACTCCCCCAACATGAAGACGCTGACATAACTGCAACGTGTCAGTTTTACCTTGGTTGAACTCCCATGTCGCATCATTGCATCATCATATATGCCGATCAAAAGTTGATGGGTTAAGGTTGATGTTGTATTTTTACGGTGGTTAATAATACGCCCCCTTAATGGATTAGAGTAGGATTTATCAAAATCTCCCTTGCAATCTCCGCATTCTTTGGTGGGTTCCACCACCATCCGCGAGGTATTTGAACGACGTGGGCACCGGTGGGCACACGCTCTTCCCCACCCTGGGCATCAAAGTGAAACCAGCGAAGGGCAGCGCGTTACTGGGAAGCGCAGGTTGTGGCTAGATTTACCCTCGATATAATGATTTATTCGATATAATGATTTATACTCATTTAACGGGGCTGGCCCGAAAATTCCCTGTAAATTTAGGTTTAAATGAGAAAATCACATAAAAAGGAGGTTCTAAGAGGAAAGTCCTTTCTTTATACATGGAGATTCTAATTTTGTCTACATTTCCCATATAAATTAAGGTTTGAATTGGACAATCCTTTGTAAATGGAAGTTTTATTGGGAAAAGCTATAAATGAAGGCTTTAATGGGCAAATCCACTGTAAATGGAGGTTCTAATGGGACAATCCAAAAATGGAGGTTCCAATAGTTCCAATGGAACATTTATACTGCTAAAGGGAACTAAACGGTACTGCACACATGTATAAGCATGTGAAGTAGGCCTGACATGACGCCAAATACTTGGCTCAAGTCGCAAGGGAAAACGGTGTTCGCGCTGCCCAGCAATGCTGCCGGGATTCTGGCTACCAACTCGTTAGGGACTCCAACATCTACAACCAGATATCCAGGAACAAGGATTAAAATTGTTCACAGGTTATCAGCCGTAAGGGCTCACATCTTCCGTCGGAAGAGGAGTACCTGCGTGCTGGTAGCCGGGCCGTCAGAGCTTAAGATTGTGGACGCGAAGGACCAATCAGCTCATCATCGCAAAGATGCAGGGCGGCAGCGGGGACTCGCGCAACACGCAGTTTACCTTCAACGAGAACGCTGCTATGCCGGTCGAGGAGGTCACTCAATCTTCCCCTGGCGACACAGCAGACAGTGGCGGGATACGCTCTACCCGAACTACACAGTCCGGATGGCAAGTTACGTCAAACAGACGAAGAATGTCCACCCAAAGTACACCAAGATCTTCTCGAAACAGTGCTCGAAGTGATGTTGTCCGCCAAGGGCATCGACCATCTCGAGGACGAACTACCCCAAGGGACAGATCCACCAGGGCCGGAACCGACCGAATTGGTGAGAGGACCGGGGACACTCGTGTTAAGAGGAGATCAACGGATACTTCTGTGGCTAGTGAACCTATTGCCATGATAGCAGAACTACGGGCACAATGTCAATCCTTACGTAATCAGTTGAACAATATGGAAGCATATGCTGCATCAAGAGATCAACTGATTCATGACATCGAGATCAGATTCACTGAATATCTTCAGGAACACAACCAGAATGTGTTTGATGAGGTCAATGCACTCAATCATAGATTGTCATGTTCCGCAAATGAGGTTGCAGAGTATCAAGCAGAACTAATGGTAGCATCTCAGGAAGACGAAGGTGCAACAATACGCATCCAAGACCTTGAACGCCGAGGTGCCCTGATGGAACACGGTGCAAGACGGATCCATCAACGCGGTATGGAGATCCAAGAAGAGTACAAGGATGAAGTACATCACCTTCAAGGACTATTGGGTAATACGGAGGCAAGACTGCAACAACTTCATCAGACCAATGTCTTAACTACCGATATTGCCAACCGATTGTACACTGAAGGTCAAGAAATGCAGACGGATTTCCAGAACTCAATCATGGAATATCGTAATCGATCCGAAATGGCATCCTTCTCAAGCAATCAACTTGAAATGATTAGCCAACAACAATCAATTGCAGTTCATGAATTGTCTGAACGGAATCAGCTATTGAGTGAAGCTCTAGTTCAGTCTCGTAAACAGGCCGAGTTGTATGAAAACAGTATTGAAGAGATCACTAGAGAATCCAGAAAGAAGGTTTTCGAGGCAAACCAAGCCAAATTGGAAAGCGATCTGAAACACCGAAACACTGAACATGATACTGTCAGAAGAGTTGCATCATACAGGAACCACGAGGCCGAAGCGATATCACACCTGAGGCTTGAATCACAGGCTAGTGCAAATGCGATCGCGAGGGCAGAGCACTATGAAGAGCTCTACGCCAACGAGCAGGAGATGAACTGTGAATTGAAGGATGAGATCAGATTGCAGAACGTGAAGTTGCGAAGATCATTAACTCAGGGCACTACGATCGACGGTCGTGGCCCTGATGAGATGCTTGTTGAAGATCTACGGAACCAAGCCAAAATCGCTCAAATCAGGGTTCAGGATCTAGACCATGAAGTTCATGAATGTTTACAGGAAAACATGTTGTTAAAAGAAAGATTGACTGAGGTTGCGGATGTAGGGGCGTCGTCCCTCTCCAATGCTGAAGTCCGAGCTTTAAGATCTGAACTAGAAAGTGAGCGCAAAATGAAATTGGCTAGTGGTGTTCAGCAATATGAGAGATCATGCATGTTCATGGGGGAAATTCAGGATAGGGATGAAAAGATTGGTATCAAGAATTCTGAGATTATTGACATGAAACGTCGTATAGACGAACTGAGAAAGAGTCTCAAGGATTCTGAAACATCTATGTCCAGGGTCAACCCTGATACGCTTCCCTATTCGGCAGGTATCCCCAACTATGATCTCGCATCAAGACTGGTCATTGATAGACTGGAGAATGAGGTGAGTGAGGCTAACTCCGAGAACTCTGTCCTGAAATCATGGGTATCGCAGATCGACAAGGAGTTGACCTACGAGACTAATGCTGCTCTCTCCTATTACGGGCATGCTGGACCATCTCAAAATCAACCATCTCAATCGAACAAAAGGATCGCCGACCTGCTGAAAGAAGTTGACAACAAGATCGCCGATGGAACCGAGAAGGACTACTACAAGCCTCCGGGCGGAAGGGGTGGCCCACCTGACCCTGATGGGCCTCCTGACCCTTTTGGACCTGATGGTCCAGGACCACCTCCAGAACCTCCTGGCTTACCTTCTGTGCGGGGATCACAACGCGATTCAGCAGATGATATCTCCACTGCGGCGTACACGGCAGAAGAAGTACCGAGAATGTCGAGACGGGAGGCTGACAAAGTCTATGTTAGCCCATGGCCGAAGCAACAGAACCTTGGGGTTTGGCAGTCAGATCTCATCAAGGGTGTTGTTCTTGCCGCGAATGATGGAGACAAAGCTGCATGGGAAGCATGGCTACAGCCGGCTATTCGACCAAATCCTGACATCGAGCTACTGAATGACAGTGGTGGGCAACGATATCAGTCAATCGACGCCAAGTTGTCAATCGCATTGTCGAACGTGATAGCCCAAGCCGGTGATGTTGCTCGTCATGTGGCAATTAAACTAAGATTGAGAACACAGAGTCATAGTCGAAGAGGAACCTATGTTATGGGACGAGAGATTTTGGCTATGATTCTGGAACACTTCAGGACACCAGGTCAACGAGAGACAGCCTTCACCATGGAGCACATCGTATCGATGAAGTATCTCGGTGACTCCAACCTGGAAGTGTTCTACGAGAAGTGGATGGAGATGGTGTCAAATATGATGCCGGATGATGTACCTCCTGATGATTGGCTTCGTGACGCTCTATACAAGAAGATTCGAAATTCGAGTCTCATGATGTTCGACATCAAGCAGTATGAGTCATGGATCGAAGGTGATCAAAGACGAAGCTATCGTTACCTGCTGGACGTCATCGAGAGGCACATATCCAGGATCAGAGAAGACAAGCATGTGGCCGCCAGAGAGAAGTACGCAAGAGAGTTTGCAGGTGGTGGCAAACCCACTACTCCTGCACCAAACCCAACTGCTGCTGCACCAGATGCCAATCCGAAGGCGAAGGCTAAAGCCACTCCCAAGGAGAAGGCAGCACCTAAGGCGAAGGCCAAGGCCGATGCAGCTCCAGTTCTACCATCACCTCAACCAAAACAGCATGCAAAAGGAAAAGGGAAAGGTCAAGGGAAAGGAAACGGACGGTCAAACAGCCGAAGTGCTAGTCCTAGATCCAAGAAGAAGATCCCATGTCATTTCCATTTCATCAAGAAAGCATGCAGAAAAGGAAAAGATTGCGAATATAGTCACGACCAAAAGGTGTTTGATGCGAACAAGAACACGAAAGGTAATGGTCGAAAGCCAGGAACTCCGAGAAGTCAATCTCCAGCGAACAAGACCAAGAAGATTGATGAACCATGCTGGCACTGGGCCAAGGGCAAGTGCCGATACGGAGACAAATGCAACAAACGTCACGATCCTCATCTCTTCAACACTGCTCCGAACACCGAAGCACCAAGCTCAAAGGCTACTCCTGCACTTGTCCATGAATGGAGTGATGACGAAGGGACATTCCACAAGGTTGCACCGAATGTCGTCAAGAAGAAGGTACGATTCGACGAGTCGAAGACTTGCATTCAGACGTACGTGAAGAAGGACTTCGTGAAGTGCAGCCGGAAATCCCAAACCATCCCCAAAAAGGTCATGGTAAAGTCGGCAAGCCCACCGATCAGGTAAGGCAAGATGAGCAATGGTCTTATTCATGCAGACTAGCATCGAGCCGAGGGAAGGCAATGGCTATCCTGATCGATGAGAAGGGTGAGTACAGTGACATTGATGAAGTCCTAGTCATCGTCGGCCCCAGTCTTGACATTCTGATCAGGTTCGACATCGAGGACGGTGAGGTATCCAGGGAGGTCTTCGTGGAGAACTATGTTCAACATGTCGAGGGTCGATATGGCAAAAGGGGTAACACAATGTGTATCACTGTTCCTGTTGAAGAAAGAGATAAGAGATTCATATTGGATTCTGGAAGTGGTCATGATCTTATCTCATCCACACGAATAAGTAGAATGGATCTCCCAACATATGATGATAAAGTCGTCAACTTCCATACAGCAAACGGGGTAACATGTTCGACCAAACGTTCAAGTATCAAGTTCGAGGCATTCAACGAACCAGCAGAAGCTCACATCCTGGAAGACACGCCTTCCGTAATTTCCATGGGCAAGCGGTGCGTTGACCTTGGCTATTCGTTCGTATGGCCGACTGGGAAAACTCCTTTCATGTTAGATCCCAATGGCAACATCATCGAAATGACTGTCAAAGACTACATTCCTTATGTGAATGTCGATCAGGAGAGAAGAAAGCTAAAATCATCCAGCGTGGAACAGATCATGGCAGTTCTTGATGAT